TATAAACATAATACAGGTTGAAAAGTTCTGGAAGGCTTTTTGTGAACAGTTTTATCCAACCTGTCAAAACAAGTCTACTGAGAAGACAGCAAAACTCAGTTCTCCTAAATGTCAAATAATATACCAATTTCCTGTACATCTCTACCATATCCAAAAAGAACAAAAAAAGGATGCCAAGTGGTGGTTAGATATGATGTAAGAAAATAGTGTAACTTCCTCCTAATTCTCCAATAAAGGTCCTGCCACAACCTCACTCTCCAGCTTTGGCACCATGGCTTTCCTTCCTTCCTGGGTCTGTGTACTAGTTGGTTCCCTTTCTTTTTCTTTAGCAGGAGATTTAAATTTTTTAGATCTATATCCTCCTTTGTGGAAAGAGAGTCCTGGTCAGTTCAGTGACTACCCAGTGGAGAATGGAACATACATTATCAATCCCTGGATATTCCCTGAAAGACTGGGGATGTATAAAATTCTATTGAACCAAACAGCCACTTATTTTGAAAAATTTGCTTCAGGAAATGAGCAAAATCTTTTATGGGGATTGGCTTTGCAGCATGGTTGGCAATATAGTTCAGGTAAGGAAGACAGCTATTTTCAATCTCATCATCTATTAATATCATCATGAAACTTTAGAAAATACAACTTTAATATAGTTCATATAAGAAAGAATGCTGTTTTATTCTAATTATATCTCTCTCTATGTATATCCATAAAGTATTGGAAAAATGGGACTCTGAAAATCCTGCACATGTTTTTGAAAATTGATTCTTTTACTTCCCTCTTTTCCCCTCATAATCATTTTTCTCCTCTCCACAAATCCTTCCCTTATGGATTATCTGTTTCTACTAGAAACTTCAGTGAGACATAAGGTATAATGACCAGCCAAAACCACTAATTATATCTGATCTATTGAACATTTTACAAATGGTTACTAAACCCTACTAAATGGTACATTCCTTTCTAAGAACTGGGATGAACAGAATAGTCAAGGGAATGTATATCCCAAACAGAACACAATGCCATATTAGTTTGAACTTCTTGAATTTTAATTGTGATTACCTGACTGTGGAAACAGAGACATAAATGCACATTGTTTGGGGGCTAATTCTCTGAAAGTGATTGCTTCCTCATAGAAATAAGTCACCTCCCAGTGCATATGAAGAAGGTATGGGATGTGAATATTATTAACTCTTTTACTCTGGGAGTATTCATTCCATAAAGTTTATTAGGATATAGAGAAAACAGTAAAAATGTGAATATTTACAAAAGCAAAATATCTAAGACCTATAATTCAAAGATCAAAACTTGTAGTATGGTTAAAGAAAAATTGGTCAAGAGATGAGGAAAAAAAGATAGAGAATACTAACACCAGTAATTCAGAAATAAGTGTCAGGAATTGAGAATGAGGAATGATGAGGAAAGGAACTGTTGGTTTTCATTGCAAGATCATAGTCGTATGTGATTTTTTAAAATCTTGAACAAATGTAATTTTAATAAACTGAAAATTAAATAAGAAAAAAATGTTTTTGCATCTACAAATAAAATGTTTCTAGTTAAGTGATGATCATACTCAATTTCACACTGTGGATAATAAATACTGCTGCACATTTTCTCTCCTCTAGGCAGATTAGCTGATCCCAGCCAAAGGACAGACTGTGGCTATGAATCTGATCATCTGTGCATCTCTGTGGACAGTTGGTGGGCTGGTAGGTTCACTTTGAAAGCAAAACAAATATTATCCTTTGACCGCAGAAAGCATTCAACCTAAAATTTTAGGGTCAGGGATAAAACAAAATAGTATTGTGTTCCTTTTGAAAACTGAATCTGTGTCACATGTACCCAGTGACCTTTGTGTCATATTATAGGTTTTAACAGCCAAAATTTTTTTAGGACACATTTAATTTTTCACAGAAAGATTGAAACTAATAACAACAAGGATAAGTGGCCTCTGAGTAAGCAACAAAGGCAGTTAGATGTTAGGTCTCAAAAATGACAGGGGATCTTTGGAATAAGGAAGGCTGAAAAGTGTGAGACCAAGACAATTATGCTTTTTAATTTTGTTCCTAGCATATTTGATAATATTGAAACTCATAAACTTGTCAGAGGTTAATAGCAACTGTATTTCATTTTATCAATCAGTAATCTACATCTTTAGTTGTATACTTAATGTTAAAAATAATCAGAAATCATTTTCTAATTCTTTAATTTTGCATTTTAGTTATGAAATTAATTTGCACAATAATTTCTTAAAGGAATTTCCCAATACTTAGAAGGAAGATCACACCAAATTTCACTTTCTCAAGAGTGACATTCACAGTATGTATCCCCTATGTATTTTCATCATAAATCCTGAGTCGATCTTAAATACTCAGAAATAATCATGCCCACAGATCTGGAATTCAACCTTTATTTTGCTCATCTTGGCTTATGAGTTTGGAGTATCAGAGGACTATGCTGGGTAATAGGATTGCATTCACAAATGCTTGTCTATGATGAAAATATTTTCAACACTGATTTCCAGTGAGGAACCAGTATAAGTCTAATATCTAATTAAATCAAAGCATTTAAATCTACTGCTGTAGTAAGTAATCTGTAGGTAGGAATTTTAAAGAATCTTATTTGATTGTCAAAGCAATTATTTATTGTTCTAATTATCTCTTGTCAAAACTCATCAAAAAATTCTGCTTTAAAGACATAGTTAGCGACATTATACTTACCAATTAAACCTAATATCTACTTACCAAAGATGCAACCCTGTTAGAATATTTTAGAAAAGATATAATTCACAGTACAACCTCAATTAGAAGTTTTGTACCTTTCTCTGGACAGTTTGATAGTTTTCTTCCTTTTTTTAAATTTAGTGCTTTAAAATGAATATAACCAAATCCATTCAAATTACTTTTGTTTTAATATGTGAGTCAAGAACTTTAATATATATTCATGATCACAGGATTATTAACAAAGTTATGTTCAAGTTATATAGACAAATGATACTTAATGGGATTTTGTTCAGTATTTATTCTTTGTGCCTAACTTTTATCACATGCTTCTGGATCTGGGAGTTTTTTCTTTAATGACTCAGGGCCTCCTTATAAATGTATTCTTTTATGGTTGGTGCTTCATATAATAATAATAAGCCATTTGTTCTTACAGATTTTAATTATTTTCTCTGTGTATTGCCGTTCCTTGCTGCGGTGGATTCTGGCCTCCTGGGGATATCATCAGATCAAGTCAGGCTTCTGCCACCACCTGTGGATCAGAAGAGGTTTTGCTATGATGTATCTGGCTGCCTTTTATCCTTCCCTGAGATAATGAACAAGTGGAGTGACTTTTACAAGGTTCCTTCTTTAAGTGTTATATTTTGTAATTTTTATGTAGGGTTTTTGTGCTTTGTACAATATTTTTTTCTTAAAATGGCAAGCTATATTGATAATGCTTAATATATTAATAACACATATTGCAATAGGGCATTGCATGTCATTGACATATTGTCCCAGTACTGAATCAACACAAAATTTATCCATTTTGCCCACCTCAAACAAATTATACCACACAGAGTGAGCATACAACGTATTTTGATAACAGGCGAATGGCTAGCATGGTTGGTTAGAACTCCAGATCCACCGTGAGATCATAGGAGAAAGGGAATTAGAGAACTTGTTTTAGATCAGTTGTAATTCTCACAGTACTCTTGTGTTATGAGAGTGGGATATGTTATGAAGATACCAAAGAAAACACCAGAGATTGGACACAAGATATTGTATTTATTGAAAAATGGTTACAAGGAGGTCCAGTGGCCACTGGCTGAACAGATGTTTCACCAGAAAGTCCAGTGGTGATGAACTGCACAGGTGCACCTCTGCTCCACACAGTGCTTCCAGTGCCTCACAAGAAAGTGGAGCTATGTATATAAGAGTTAGACACTATTGGTCATCTGGATCAGACTCACATTGTTTCCCTAACTTGGTTATGATTTTTGGGAATAGAAAGGGCCATTCAGGTACATGGTGTATACTGTTGCTTTCTCTTTAAGGATGACACACTGGCCAATCATCTTATTTCAACTAAACTAATAAATGACCAAATGTGGTAGAGATAAACAATTATATGATGTTCTGAACTAAATATTCAATGACTAAAACAAAATACATTGGTGAAACATACATATGAACTAAAATCCATGATGAAAACATATTTTTATTAGTTCTTTAGATTATTAATTAATGATTTTATATATATTTAAATTTAACTTTCAAACAAAAAAATTTTCTACTTGCTCTTAAGATTTTATGGTAATTTCAATAATGGTGGTAGGAAAAAATGACAAAAAAGACTCCTGGTGCCTATATGAAATATGCATTCTTTTAAGATGTTTGAAGTTCACTTCTTTTAGATGTATATACTTTACCAAATGTAAAGCATTTTTTTTTTTCCGTTTATAAAGGTTAGACAATAATGGTCTTGCACATATTTACTTTTACAAACATTTTCGTTTCATGTAGTATATCACTCAATTATGTGTCTGAACCAGTCGAACTTCAGGGAGGGGAATTGTTAGAGTTGCTCAAATACTAACAAGTTTCTCCTCTTTAGCATGTGCATTCACCTTCTAGTACCTTTGAAGACATATTGGAATACTTATGGGATGCACATATCTTCACCCTGAATAACATTTTCAACACATTTGACGATAGGTAAGAATGGATCCAATGTCATCTCTCTTTAGTATATTTGATTTTTTTTTTTTTGCGGGGGTCACCAGATATTGAATTCAGTGGTTCTTAACCACTGACCCACATCCTCAGACCCTTTGTTATATTTTATTTAGAGACAGAGTCTCACTGAGTTGCTTAGGGCCTCACTAACTTGCGGAGGCTGGCTTTGAACTTGTGATCTTCCTGCCTCAGCCTCCTAGCTGCTGGAATTACAAGCATGTGCTAACACATCTGGCTGATTTTTGTCTTATTTATACTGTTTTCTTCTTCTAGAATGATGATGATTTCTAATCTCAATATTAGATAATAGATCTAACAATTGGCATTATAGTGATGAGATGTAAACATTTTAGCATGACCTGGCATAGAATGTCTTTTATGATGAAGGGGCAAAATAGGAGAATAAAGGGTTGTATTTAAAAAATCAAAAACATGAAATGAATTTTTCTACATGTAGAAAACAAAATGGAATATGAATATGTAGATGATTTTCATTTCTTTGGGCATAAATAAATGATATATTGGTATAAACATGCATGAGTAACTATCAGCAGGCATCATGTTTAGTGCACACGACAGCCCAAAGATTATCAAGCCACTCAACATACTGGACACAGATTGGCAGGCATAAGAATGACTTGGATGGAAAGTGAATGGTACCATCTAGAGGGTGAAATCTACCTTCTATGGTATGGTGTAGGGTAAAAAGCTAGATATAGCAAAAAACAAAGAAAGCGGGGTTCATTGGTGGCGAATAAGTATATACATAGATATACATATACATATATAAATACATGTGTGTGTGTATATATATATATATATATATGTATATATATATATTAGACAGTAATGTCTGAGCCCTTCATATGCCACTCACTCATATTTTCCCCACTCACTTGATCTTTCATAAAGGCAAAAGTCTCAGTCTTAGAGAATTTCCTTCTTTTCTAGTTGATTTGGCTTTAAAACTGGGCATTAAATTAGGCAATGAAGGAGTGTAATCCTTTGTCAGTGTCTGTGATATAATCTGGGGTTGCATCTATCATAGCTGTTGGGATTCTCTTGTTCCTTTTGGGCAATGATGGGAAACACGTGAGATTATCTCAGGTGTCGTGGATTTGAATGGTGATGGTCAACCTCATTATCCTCATTATTTTGATTGATAGTAAATGATTGTTATAGCTTTTTTTTTTCATTTAACGGTTTTATAGGTTTGTATCAAAAAGTAAACTAGTAGAAAAATATAACTTTGAACATAGAAAACATGCGTGTTTTAAATATTTAAATTTATGGAGGGTTGGAGAGGTAGCTTCATATGTAAGGCCCTGGGTTTGATCTCCAGCACTGAAAAAAAAATTTGTGGAGATTACAGAATTTTTTTAGGTATTTTTCCCTAATGAACTTAGATAATCAAGTAGCTTGCATTTATTCCTATTTATGCAGTGGAATTAATTCTATGTGAAAAAAATCACTTTAAAAAAATACATGCCAGTAGAGTGTTTCTTGACTTTTTGTACATACATGTAGTATAAATTATCCTAAGTAGGATCCTATTCTTGTAGTTGGTTGTACATGATATGGAGTTACCCTGGTCGTGTATTCATATACAAGGATAGGAAAGTTATGTCTGATTAATTCTCCTGCCTTTCCTATTTCCCTCTCCCTGTCAGTTCCCTTCATTCCCCTTTGGCAGTTTTGTTTAAAAATTGTTTCAAAATCACATAATATAAAGCTTTTGGTGAGTATATTTAAATTTGTGTATGTCTATTTTGGTTACCAGGGAATAAATTAAAAAGTATTCATTTTATGGGTTATTAGTAGGATCCCATTCTCACTGATTACAACAAAGATGTTTTTGATCAACACATTTTATTTCCTGAACTTTTGTCTTTTAATTTCATTCCTTGGCAACAATAAATACCCTTCCTAAATGAAATTTTAAGCAGCTAACATTTTAAGTAAAAACGTAAAGAATTAAGTACATTTAAATATTAAGAATAAGTGAAAGAAACTGTTCTAAATACTTTCATGTAATACAACTCAGTTCAAAATCATTGCTTTTTCAAGACAATAAATCTGTTCCTGAGTGTTTGGTAGAGTGCTTAAAATCTTACAGTGAACCAATTTGCAGTCCCACCAGCAATGTGTGAGTGTACCTTTTTCACCACATCCTCGCCAACGTTTATTGCTGTCTGTATTCTTGATGATTGCCATTCTGACAGGAGTGAAATGAAATCTTAGCGTAGCTTTGATTTGCCTTTCTCTAATTGCTAGAGGTGTTGAACACTTTTTCATATATTTGTTGATCAACTGTATTCTTCTTCTGTGAAGTGTCTTTCAGTTACTTAGCCCATTTGTTGATTGGGTTATTTTTTTTAGTGTTAAGTTTTTTGAGTTCTTTATATTTCTTAGAGATTAATGCTTTATTGGAGGTGCATATGGTGAAGATTTTGCCCAAATCTGTAGGCTCAACGCAGCCACATCAATGTTTATAGCAGCTCAATTCACAATAGTTAGACTATGAAACCAACCTAGGTGTCCCTCAATAGATGAATGGATAAAGAAAATGTGGTATATATACTCAATGGAATATTACTCAACTTTAAAGAAGGGTAAAATTATGACATTTGCCAGTAAATAGTTGGAGTTGGAAAATATCATGCTAAGCAAAATAAGCCAATCCCATAAAACCAAAGGCTAAATGTTCTCTCTAATATGCAGATACTAATTTACAATAAGATGGGGAGCACCAGGGAAGAACAGTGTTACCATAGATTAGGTAGAGGAAGTGATGGGAGGGATGGGGAGGGGATGTGGGGATAGGAAAGATATTAGAATGAAACAGACATTATTCTTGTATGTATATATGTGACTGCATGACTGATATGATTCTGCAACATGTACACTCAGAAAAATGAGAAATTATATCCCATCTACGTATGATATATCAAAGTGCGTAAATGAATTCTACTGTCATGTATAACTAATTAAAGCAAAAAAATTAAAAAAATCTTACAGTGAATTACAGGACAGATATTCAAATTCCCTAACTCACTAACCCGTCTTCTTACCCTGCATGCTACACAGCCTGCATTGCAAAGGGCTTGAAAACTGGATTTCAAAGATCAATCGTCTACTAAGATTTTCTCTTATTCTTAAAAGCTAAATTGAGAACAAAAATATGCTTCAACATTTGCAATATATAATAAGCAGAAATGAATGGAGTGAAAATAAAACCTGAGGATTACTTCATTTATGAGGAATTTTTCAATCTCAAGGGGAGATAAGTCACAGCTGCCAGGTTAGAGGACAGGTGAGTGTAAGCAGGGTCTCCTGCCCAGGGAGTGAGGAAGGAGGACAGTCCTTGGAGTTGGCCTGCTGGTCCTGCTGCAGAGATCTTTCCTTCTGTCTTTATGTATATTTTAAATTGAATACTGATATGACCTAATGGATGTCTCTTAGTGATGACTACTGTGGAAATTCCAAATGCCTGTTTAGGTGTCCTGCATTTGTTAATCTACTAGTTGATGAGGTTTCTGGTTGGCAATTTCTATGAGCTCTGTTTTGGAGATTCTAAGTAATTGACAGTTGCCTGAAATACTGTGACAATGCATATAGTAAGATATCTTGATTTGGGTTTTCACAGATCTAGTTTTTAAGTCCTGACCCCATTTGACTTGGGTATCCAAAGACATCACTTCTCATTTGTAAAACGGCAATAGTAATAGTACATGCCACACTGTGTAATTTTGGGGATTAATTGAGAAACATATGCATTAAGCTTAACCACTGGCACATGGGATACAGTCAGTATAAAATACTGATTATAACCAGAAAAAGAGGCAGGGAGAACAGTAGTAAAGAATATGAATTTTAAAGTCAGATTGTTAGGGTTAAAACCTGGTTCTGCAATTTTTCATACATATGATCCAGTATTTTGTTAGCTTCATTAAAAAAAAGAAAAAGAAAAACAGCAGCAGGACCTACATTATTAAACCTCAGTGGCATACCATGTGTTTCCTGCTCACACATGTGGGTTCAGCCCGGCGGATCTGCTGGTCCTTCCTGGCCTTACTCTCTGGTGGACTGACTGATCAGCCCCAGCAGGGATGACTGGGAAAGCTCAGTTCTGATGCACTTATCTGCTTCATCAAGAGGGTCTGGGCATTGTCCATGGTGGTCAAAGTTGCAAGAGAGAAATCAAGTGTGAAAATCCACTTCAAGCTTATGTTCATCAAGTCGGTTAATACTATATTGTCCAAATCAAGTCAAATGACTGAGCCAGGGGAAAGTGTTTCTGTCTCTCACCAGATATAGAAAGTAAGGGTCCTGGAAGTTACCTGACAGAAGACAGGATTATAGGACAATAGGGAGTAGGAAAAAATTGGAGCAACATCTGTAATCTATCATACTCAGGTAAATAGCCTTAGAATCCTATCAGTTACTTTTTTCAGTCAAAAATACTAAGAAGTGTTTATTTAAGCAAGATAATTCTAATAATTTGTGGCTTGTGTAAACTCCAATCAAATTCTTGTCTTTTATTGGCTTGTTCAGAAGTACTTATATTTTTTATTTGAGAACCATAAAGTTTATTTATTTACTTAGTTTTGGCCACATTCTGTCTCACTCATTAGATCAACTGGCCACTGAATCGTTCAACTGCAGAATTTGAAAAGTTTTCTATTGAATTTCATTTCTGCTCATATAACTTTTCAGTACTGACGTCTTGATTGTCTTTTCCCTTCTCCCAGGTTTCTGACTCCCTTGCAATTTGTTTTTCTTTTTTGCAGTACTATGGAGTGACCCAGAGGTGCTCTAACCCTGAGCCACATGCAGACCTCTATTTGGAGACAGGGTCTCAGTAAATTGCTGATTTTGGACTTGAACTTGTGATCCTCCTGCCTCAGTCTTCTGGGTGGTGCAGTTTATTTAATTTGCTAATTACTAGGGCTTAGTGGCCCTTGCTCAAAAGTCTTATGAATAGGCATATCCTTTCATTTTTATTTGATAGACTACTGTGACGTGTCAAAGAATATTGAATCCCAACACAACACTTGCCATCAAGGATAAACGTCTGCTCACTCTACTATGTTCAGGCTAGGGGAAGAAAGAGTCTATCAGAATGGGAGTCATGGGGATGGGTTGTGTCCTCTGGACTATGTTATGGTTTACTTAATGTAAGCATGTTTACATAATGTAAGCATCTTATATTTTGTGGATCCTTCATATGTGTTGTCAAAATAAAATTAGATGGTCTAACTTGAGGAGGTTAGAACATATTCTAATGTTATAATAAAACCTCAAATATGTGGATGGTGCCGTGGGAATATGCCAGAGTGGGAAGTCATTGGTTTTAATTTAGGTAGGCTGGAAAACTTCGTGAAAGAAGCAATATTTTGATGAGACTTGAAAGAGAAGGTTCCTGGTGAGAAAAGTGGGGAGTGTACAGTCTTTTAGGAGAACAAAAATGTTTGCAAAAGTTGTTCAGTGTACTTACAGTTCATAGTGACAGGGGCTGTGAATTACCTAGTTATAAAACTGTTTTCTACTTTCCACTATAGTTATTGGTTCCCCAAATTATCAAGAAAGTTCAGTTTTGAAAATGTTTCCTAAAGTAAACTTTTAAATTCCAATTACTTAGAAAATTGGACTTGAAAATCTGGCCTCTATTTCACTAGAATGATCAATATTTTGGGGACTCCAAAATATTGGAAATCAACAGTTTTCTAACATATGTCTCAGTCCAGTAATAATTTTGACTTAGACCTTTGATATTTTTCTTGACATTGCCAGAGAATATTATTTAAACATGTTTTAGTACAGTTATTTTATTCTTTGTGAGTATTATATGCTTAATTCAAAGATGTAAAATGCAAAGTAAAGTATTAATAACAAATGGGATGATCCTTCCCAGACTTAAAGATTAACTGTGCATCTTCACATCTCCTGAAGGATGGATAAAAAATCATCGCATTAAAAACCCATTTTATAAATCATGAATTTTATAGCAAGAGACAATCTTTTCTAAAGGGAGTGAGGTTGAAATTCTGAGGTGATTAATCATAATTAAATACTTTTTTCGATTTGTCTTTTAGATATGTCTACTATTCTGAACAAGAAGCAAAATTTGAGAAGAACTGGGTTACTTCTGTGGAATATATAGGCGCTGCCCGCATTCCTACAACCTTAATTAGAGTATATGAGTCCCAGAAGGGCCTGCCACCACGAGTTCTTAGTAAAAAGGACACAGCCCCTGGAATCAGTGACTTTACTGCCCTTCAGAACACAGTCCTGTCAGGTCTAAGTGTTCTTGGCACAGTGAATAAACTTACAGGTAAGAATTTTAAAAGAATATTTGACAAAAATCAAGACCATGTTGAACAGACATTGGTGAACTAATTAAATCAGAAATATAGATATCATGATATATACTCTCAAAAGAAATTTATGATTTCCTATGGTTATCTCTTATATTTAATTAGGAATAATCACTCTTGATATATGACCATTGAGAACCATATTCTTTCTTTGCCCTCATGGACTGCCCTTCCATCTGCAGTCCATATTGAAACATGGAGTGTGCATATCAACTAAAGCACACTTTTGTTCAGTACACCCACATATACTCCTTATTGTGCTCATCAGAACTTTTCTTATTCTAAACTGAGTACTTTGATCTTCAATTTAAAGAATATAAGAGAATTTCAAAAGCAAAACTACCACAATTAATGAAATCACTAGCAATTTGATTTTTCTGAGTTTCTTTGAACCAATATTTTTTAGTCACGAAACAAGTTCTTCTGCATTACTTCAAATGCTAAGATCCCTAGTGGAGTGAAAAGCAGAAGAACTGTACAATTACAAGTTTGAAAATTACTATTGCATCCCTATTATCCATCCATATACCTAGCCACTGGCCCAAAAATAAAAGCATAATGATACTATTAGTGTTTTTCAAAGCAAGAAGTTTGAATCTGAAAGCAAATAAATAATAAATCAAACAAAACATGAATAGTTTAGTTATGTGTTTTTTAAAAACCCAAATGCATTACTTGGAGGAAGAAAACATCCAGACACTAGGGACATGATACAATTCAAGTTTCTTCTTAGAAATTTCCTCTGGAATCAGGGCTCTAGTGAGACATTGTCAGTCAGCAGGTAGCTTTCCATCACATAGAAAGTAGTGAGCCAGATTTCTTTCCACCTATGGAAATCTTTCTTAGAGCATTATCCCCCAAAATGAGTCAATTCCACTCATTTTGTTTAATAGATATGAAGCATTTCATTTGAATGCACCACAACTATGAGTATTAGTTTTTATTTTAAGTTATTGCCAAAATAACAATGGCATTCTACATATAATTTTCTTGTATAATTTAATGATTTCATCACTAATTTCATAGAAAGAATGAAATAAAATTGGTAGGTCAGATATGTCAAATAATATTACCTATAATGCAATGTTGAAATTCTGTTTATTGTGTAACTGAATATATTACTACTAATTAGTAAAAAGAAAATGAAATAAATTTGATTGATCATATATTTCCAAATGGAACTAGAAAAAGATTTCAGAGTTTGTACATAATGATTTTATTATTCTTCCAGGTTCATTTTCTTTGACTGCATGGAAAATTTTAATGAACACACAAGATTCAAGGAAGCTATTTCTAGAGGTTTATGACAAAATTTTTACAATATCTAATTAAAAACCTTCCCAAACAGTTAATGAATTAAAAGTCAACCACTATAGCTTTTTGATAATCAGTAATTTCAAAAAAATAAATATGATCACGACCATGTAGTCTTGCCATTTATGGTGATTTTGATTTATGCTCACTTGTTAAGAATTTGTCCATGCATTACTACCATTGAATTCAAATTGATACTTTGATTATTTTGCTGAAGAAATAATTATCAATTTTTTAAATTCACCAATTTTTAAATTTTGAGATCTAAGGAGATTGCATGAAGCTACCAAAATCATTATTATTTAATGAATAAAAATCTATTAAACTTCTATGGCTCTTTTGGCATTATCCAATGTCCCATATTTTTATGAAACTTAGAGGAAAATAGTTTGTTGATTTATAATTAAATTTCAGAAAATTTTGAAATAAAATACTGAAAGTTAAGTTAAATGTGTAAAACTGAACCAGAAAAGAGTACACTGATTCATCAGTTTTTTTTTTTCCTGTGAATTTATCAAGTTTACTTGATAGAGTTTCCTTCTTTCACCCACAGTTGATAATGAATACTTCAGGGTTAAAAGTTTGTCAGGATTGCTCTAAGTGGAAAGAATGCACTGGCCAGGAAATCATGATTTCTAGGATCGACATGAACCATTTATAAAGGCTCTTGTAAGGCTTTCATTCACAGACTAAATCTACCCACCAAATATTGAAAAGTGAAATTGGAAAAGTTGGTTTGAATAGCATGGATTGCAATAGGAAAGACGTAGCTCATGATAGCTCTGTCTGTCATTTGCTGGCTGAATGAGCTTGGGAAGCTTTTCCAGTGCGCTCTTGCTTCAGCTTTCTTATTTTTTATAGTAATGAACATTTAACCTACTTTGCAATACTATTTTGAGGAGTCAATAAAAACATGAATATAAAGTGACTACTTCTCAACACGTGGGATAGGGGCACAAAAAAGCAGAGATTATCACAATAATTGAGCTGAGAGATGGATGTATATTATATTAGGAGGGATAGTAAAGCACCTGTGATGAGCAGGAACCAGATATGCATTTTTGTTGAATCCAAAAACATACCTGGATTTCTTGAAGACGTAGACAATGGATGCAGTTAGAGCCAACAATCCCAAATCTTCTTTAAAAAGGCGAAATAATCGTGTCTATGAAATGTCTATTGAAAATTCAACATTTCTTGAAGACAGATCATGCTGAAAAAACTTAGATTAAAAAGAGAAATGCTGACAAACACCCATCCATACCCTAGTCCTATAGACTTCTGTTCATCCCACAAATGAAGGTAGCCTGAGAAAAACCGTGGGGAAAGACCCAGATGATAGGAAAGGTAGCAGAATACAACAGTTACTAATATGGCATTATGTAAAAATGTGGATGTGTAACCGATGTGATTCTGCAATCTGTATTTGGGGTAAAAATGGGAGTGCATAACCCACTTGAATCTAATGTATGAAATATGATATGTCAAGAGCTTTGTAACGATTTGAACAACCAAAAAAAAAAAAAAAAAGACCCAGATGAGAGAGACACTAGTTGAAAAGCGAGAACTGGATGGAGCGACCACCAGAAAGATTAAATCCAAACTGACTGTGAACATAGCAAAACACATGGGCAGATCAGGACATTTCAGAGCAGCTACAGGGGCAGGTTTCAAAGTAGGAGCAGCTCAAAGGGCCAGGCCTTGGATTTAAAGGCAGAAACTGATAAGGGCTGCCTGAAAGGGCCAGGCATTTTGTAGTGATTGTCTTCCAACAACAAAACTTCCAGGGAGAAACAGACAAACAGGAAGGGATCTAATGTCAATACAGACTAACAAAAACACAACACAAATTAACTAGACTTAAGCATGTGTGAATGAGTCTTCAGATTTGTTTTGGCACAAGCTTTTTAACTCAATTAAAACCTACAGGCAAGAAATAATAATTTGACTTGATCCCATAAAAATTGAAAAACTACCATGGCAAAAACAGCAAGCAAAGAGATAGTGAGATTTATCAGGAGGAGAAAATATTCATAAAATTGACCATCAAGAGGAATCAGACATTATTATCCTATGTACATATATGAGTACATTACCAGTGGGATTCTACATCATGTACAAGCATAAAAATGAGAAATTATACTCCATTTAAGTATGATATATCATAGCACATTCTACTGTCATGTATAACTAATTAAAATAACCAAGAAAAGGTTAGAAAATAAATATGCAGCCAATATCTTTAATAGAGAAGGAACTTTAAAAATTTGAGGAAAAATGACTATAAACAAAATAGAAAAAAAATGGGAAAAGACATGAAGAGACAATTCACAAACAAAATAATGGTATAAAATAAATATAAAAAAGATATTAGAAGTAGCCTTAAAAAAATTTTTAGGGCCTACCAGGGAGGATTAAACTCAGGGGCACTCAACCACTGAACCACATCCCCAGCCTTATTTTGTATTTTATTTAGAGACAGAATCTCACTGAGTTGCTTAGCACCTTGCTTTTGCTGAGACTGGCTTTGAACTCATGATTCTCCTGCCTCAGCTTCCCAGCTGCTGGGATTATAGGCATGAACTACCATGCCTGACTAGCCCTCAGAAATTTTTAAACTCAGTTATAATTATGGATATGCAAGAAGAACATTGAGATACTATTTTTAACCTAAGAGACTGAAAAAAAAATAGAACGTGTAATTTTTATTTCATCAATGAGCTTGTGGGAAAGTAGATATTATAAAACATTTCTGGTATGGATGTCAATCATTCAACCCTTCAGTAGGCAAAGTTGCAATGGCCTAATAAAACTAGGCATGTGATTTCCCTTTGAACTACTGGTCACACGTGTAGTATCTATTTGGAAGACATGCCTCTACTATTAACAAAATAGAAACATGCAAGTTTATGTGTTGTGCCATTATCTGTAATTGCAAAATCTAAATAACATAGGTGTCCAAAATACAAGAATGTTAAAAAATGATTGCTATTCATCTAGGAAAGAGTGATGATGATAGCTATGAACTGTTGTAGTATGATTTGCAGGACATGTTTTTAAGAAAAAAGAGCATTTCGGTACATGAGAAGAGAACATCACTCTAATCCAGACTGATGTACTTTGACATTAGCAACCTCTTAGTGGCACACTGAGAAGGACACCCAACTTTTCTGTAATATTCTTGTCAAAACCTGTCCTTTAGGTATTCTTTAAATACCTGGTATGAAATATCAGTTCATTCCTATTTCTCTTTGAGTTTTTTTTTTTTTTTTTAAATCTCTGGCTCTCTGAAAGCTGGTTGTCAGATAAGAAATTGCATTTGCTTTCTATCACTGTCCCCCCAAAATAACCTATCATAATATTACTTTGTAAGTTCACATGTCTAGAAGAAGAAGATAGTGTACATAACTGACCTACCCATGTTAAAAATCTACATTTATTATATTTTGTTTGTCTAAAAGAAAGCAATGGAATTTTTCAACTTTATCAATTTTCTAATTGTTAGAAATCTAATCTAATTGCTTAGGGGTCATTGTTTTGCAGATCAAGGGTGGATAAATTTCCAGTAGGGATGTACACACGGGAAGACACCCAGTTTTTTCTTTCACTGGCTTTTTTTTAGGAATTTATTGTGTGGCAACCTCATTTAATGAAGAAACTACTGGTAAAATTGACAGAGTGACTGTCGCTGAACATTTAATATATTAAATTATATATAATTGTAAAAAAGCATATAAGAACAAATATGAGGAAAATTTTTAAATGGCATATATTCTGATATATTATCTTCTGTGCAACTAATTAAAATAAGAGGAGAGCAAACTAAGATGGGGATATTTAAAAATCCTTATCAATCATCACATAATAAGGATTTAAGTGGTATCATTAAAATCTGTCAAATGAAATATTAGAATGTTAATTTAGAAAGAGGATTACCAAAGGCATTAAAAAGACATTTTTACAAATGTAAACACTAGAACACAATGAGGGTATTTTAAATCCAAAAGACAATCAAATGAGAAAGGATGAAGAAGGGATAGAAAGATTATAAGAGAAAAAAAGGTGCCAAATGTTAAGAAAAAGACATACATGCATTTTGAGGAACATTAAGGGACATAGCATGAAGGGAGAAGAGCTTTTCAAATGACTCACGGAGCCAGGCCCAGTTTTTGGATGCACATCAAAGAAACACCTAAACCCCACCAGGTTATCTCAAAGATGACTCAACCATGGAATGATTGGCTGGATTTTTTTTTCTTCTTTGAGCCAATAACTACCAGAAACACCTCCTTTCCCTTTTCTGAAAGAATGATTATATGTTGTTTAATCTAGATGGCTATGATATTTAATATATTTATGGTGGCTTTCTTTGTGTTCTTACGTAAATGTTTGTACATAAATGTTTGTACATAGCACCTACTAGTGTGCCAGAAACTGTGCTTTATACTGTTTTCTAAGGACATAGTCATTTGTTTCTTGCTCATAGGTGAGGTGTATATATTTGAAAACAAATTTATCCAGGTGAATGATATCAATGGTAATACCTGAAAGTATAAAAATCCATTTTCAGAGGAGTGAGACCCATAGACAAATGAAAATCCATCCTAACATAGATGTTTGTAATAAATGAAAGAAAATGTGTTTGACCTAAATTGAGGGCAGGAAATAGCTCATCTGAAGGGCAACTAACTTGTGTAACTGCATGGAGATATAAATGATCACAATGTAGTCCAAGAAGGGTTTTCGTTTTCTTAAATACATGTCCAGAAATTGTTTTAAAGATGACTGCTGTGGAAAAATTGAAATTAAACAGAAAAATGCAGATTGAGTTCTATCAAAATGCTTGACAAAGAGGATATGAGAGGTCTTCAGTCACATCTACCTTGAAATAAACTTTTGACCCTGTGAAGCAGCACATTTTCCCAGCACATATTGAAACCCAGCAGGAAAAACGTGCTACATATACATCTTGTTGTGCACATACTGACTGTTATAGTTTCATTTATGGCAGAACATTCCAATCTTACAGAGAGTCTCCAGGGTCATCCCACCTTTAACTCCCTTTCTTTCCAAGAAATCCTCTCTCTTTTTGTTTTGTGCTCCTCCCTCCTCATTTCAGAAAAGAGTTATGTATTTTTTGAGTTACTCAGATCCTTTCCTACATGGCATCTTGCTACTGTGGCTGTACCAATTGGAATTCTCCACGAAGAATGCGGGTAATAACCTTCCTTTTCAGGTGTGTTTTTTCGCCTTTAAACTTTGAAATCTGTTAGACCCTGGAGCACACAGTCAATCTGTTTGAATCTGTGTGTCCCCATTGCAACTCTGATTAGCCCAAAAAAACCTTTTTGTTTCTTAACCAATTTGTGTCTTGGTCAACCTTGTTAAGATGTATTGTTGGTCAGATCATGAAACCTGATATACAGCCTAATAAGGAAAAGGAAAAACGTTTGAGGGTTTTAATGATAGGGGTGATATAACAAACACATAAAAATATTGTTTCATTTATGTGCAGCAATCTTTTTTTTTTAAATTTTTTAAGCTCAGGGCCAAATCTAGGTAGGCATCAACTTGCTTTCACAAGTTTTCTGGAATACACCGTACTCATTCTTTAATATGTTTGTTGTTCTATTGCCCTACAAGAGCAGAGTAGTCTTGATAGAGAATTAATGGCCCAAAAGAACATAAAATATTTACCATTAGATCCTATTAAGGAAATGTTGACTGATAACCTAGTGTAAGTAAATAAGACTACAAGAATATCTAGAATCTTTTTCTTTTCTAGGAAGAAAAAATAAATGTATTATCCAATTAGTTATTAAAACTAACTATATAGCCACATTCTTTGGGATTTATATTTTGTCCCTGGTTAGTGGAGCTCTCTCTTTCTGCTCCCTGGCTGTCAAGTCCTGAGCTGCTATCCCCACCATGATGTTTTGCCTCACCTGAGGCCCAGACTATGGAGTGAGATGATGATGGAGTGAAACTCTGAGACCTTGAGCCAATTTTTACAACATATTTTAAACACTATTTATAGTGTTATTAACCACCATTTCTGATGCAAAATAGAACAATTCTTATTGTATTAAAGCTGTTAGTGGAAAACACTTATATTACTTTGTAATAATGCACTCAAATTGATCCTATTTATTGCACTTATGTGCCATTTTATTATATATTTTAATACACACAAAGGTAGAGATAATCTTATGAATAGTATTGTATGGTTTAGATATTCCCCCCAAAAGCTCATGTGTGAGATAATGCAAGAAGGTTTGAAGAGATATGATTGGGTTATAACCTTAATCTAATTAGTGAATTAATCCTGTATGGGATTAACTGAGTGGTAACGGGAGGCAGGTGGGGTGTGGGTAGAAGAAGTGGTTCACTGGGGGCATGGCTGTGCAGTATATATTTTGTATCTGGCAAGTGGAGTCTCTCTCTTTGCTTGCTGATCACCATATGAGCTGCTTCCCTCTACCACACACTCAGCCATGATGTTCAGTTTCAATTTGAGCCCTGAGGAATGGAGCCTGCTGTCTGTGGATTGAGACCTCTTAAATTGTGAGCCCCTACATAAACTTTTCTACAGTTGTTCTGGTTGGGTTTTTCAGTCACAGCAGCGAAAAAGCTGACTAAAACAAGTATGGTAGCAGAAATAAGAGTCCCTCAAAATGTCTGTGTCTGAATTTACAAAAAAACTTGAATATATTAACTTATATGGCAAAAGGGACAATGAAGATGCAATTAGATTAGGATTTTATAATGGAAGATTATCCTGGATAATCTGTGTTGACCCCTTATAATCATGATGATACTTTAAAGTTAAAAAAGGAAGCAAGAGGGTCAGAATGAGAAGGACTTGAAGATGCTTTTGAAGATGGAGAAAGGGGCAATGAGTCAAAGAATGAATATGGCCTGCCCAAAAGACCATGTTTTGACACTTTCAGAAGCAAGGGAATTGATTCTCTTCTGGAGAATCTAGAAAGAATTCAGCTCTGTAAATTTCTTGATTTTTCTCCCATGAACCCATTTCAGACTTGTTATCTCCAGAACTGTAATATAATAAATGTGTTGTTTTAAGCCTCTAAGTAGGTGGTCATTTGTTATAGCAGCAATAGAAAACTGATACGAACTGTTAAAACTTCTTAGCAAATTAAGAAGGTTTCTATGATAATGAAGTTGCTGTAATTCCAAATGGATATAGTTCCTGGTTTTGAATTCCTGGAGTTTTATGCTCTAATAATAATTCTTTTTTTGACTCAAAAGAATTATCATATTTGTATCTTATTCATCGAATGGGCATATTTTTGCAACAATTAATATATTGCATAGTATACTAAATGCTCATTTCCTTCTGGTATTGAGCTAATAATTTTTTATAAGAAAAAATTTGTGGACTGTCTTTTTGGTAATTTTAATTTTTGCAATATGTTTATTAAAATATAGGGAAACTTACTGAGTTGATTAGTTTTGACTAGCTGATACCAGCTGAAGAATGAGAAAACTTAGATGCAAATTGAGGTTTCTCTGACCTTAATGCCCATTTTTTTTTCCTTAAAGGGGAGAATATTTGCTCTCCATGACTTGAAGCAAACATAAAAATTATGTACTGTGTTATGGTTTAGATGTGTCACTCAGAAGCTCATGTATGAGACAATGCAAGAAAGGTCAGATCTGAAATAAATGATTTGAGTTATGAGAATCCTAATCTAATTGGTGCATTAATCCCCTGATAGGGATTAACTGATTAACTGTAGGCAGGTAGGGTGTGACTTGAGAAGGTGGATCACTTCAGGCATGTCTTAGAGATACATATCTTCTGCTGTTAGTGGAAAGCTCTCCGCTTCCTGGTGTGGAGTCCTGAGCTGTTTTCCTTTCCTGTTTTCCTGTCCTGCCACACCTTTCCTCCAAAATGTTTTACCACACCTTGGGCTCAGAACAAAACCAGTCATCTATGGAGTGAAACCTCTGAAATCATGAACCCCCAAATAAACGTGTCCCTTTCCTCTAAAACTGTTCTTGTCAGGTCTTTTGATAATAGTTGCAAAAAAGCTGACTAAAACATAATGAAACCCAGAGATATTTGTAACATAAATTTTCAAACTTTGAGTTAACTGACCTTTGAAAATATTGATACTAGGAAGTATATTTTAAACTAAGTTCATTTTTAGAAATTTAAATTCATCAGCCAAAACTTTTACTTAAATCTTCTTTTAATCATAAAGTCTCTTATTTTAAATTTTATGAAATTGATTTAGGCAGAATAACAGCCAAAAGCTCAAATACGTTTTATGGCCTTTATTAATATATCACAGCTGAATCTACATTGAACAGTAAATATTCTAGTTATTATGAAGTTAGTTTAACAATTATTAATTGGGCAAATGAACAGTAACATCAAAGCAGATTTAAAATATAGGCATATAAAATAACAAAATTATGTATATATGCAAAACCAAAGTTTTGAAAGTACTATTCCTCAAGAAAGTCATATTGTGGGTTTTTATTTCATCACAGATTTCCAGAAGCATTAATTTAAAAAGTGAACAATAAATTCCAAAATCTCTAGAAAAAGTTTCCTTGCAACTTTTAACTCCATTAAAGTTTTCCATACAATGAAAGACAATGTTCCTAGAAAAATAATAAAGATATATTAAAAGTTACAATTTTAATTTTGATACCAAACATTAAAATTATTTAAAACAAAGTGTAATTTAATTATTATCAAATCAGCAAATGCTTATGTGCATGCTTTAATCAAGCATGTATTATTTGCTATTTAAAATTGTATATTATACTTTCATGAACTACATATATAACCAAAGAGAATAATGGATGGTAAACACAGTGATGATTATATAAATAAAACTTATTAAAGGTTAATTGCCATTTCTCACATATCAGACTATTGTAAATTAAAAAGTGTGTTAATACATGCACGTTTGATGTTCATGTGGAAACAAGAGATAATAATAATAATTAGTTCAAGTTGTTTTTGCTTTTATTTTTGGCAAGAATATGATCTTTAATGCAGTCTTTAGTTTCTATTTGGCAATATGTAATGCATGGATTAATTTCTAGCATTTTACTCTATCATTAGTTCAACAAGTTAATCTAATAAAAGTATATATTGAATGTTACTTTTGCATTGCCTAAGTCTTAGAAAAAATATAAATCCATAAATGGATATCTATGCATTACATAATGAAAATGATGTATGTTGATGTTACTGACATCGAATGAGAAAGGTACAGTACAGAGCAATTCTGTACATATATTCTATTTTATGCAAATAGTCAAATTTTTATTGAAGATTTATTCTCTTATTTACATTAGCCAAATGCATATAATCTTTATTTGTAGGAGCAAACCCTATACACACATGCAAAAAAAGCTCCTAAAAAGTCAGTTGGAAATAAATCTAGGGAAATTAGAAGGTGATGATGATGCAGAAGTTATTATTTGTGTTTAAGAACTGTACATAGCAGCTAAATTTTTAATAATAAACTTTGAATGTATTTTAAGATAGTGAAATTATAACTATAAATATTAATTAACTGTTATTAAGTTATGGATAAAAAATATTTAGTAACTGTGTGAATTTTGAGTATAAGAAATATATCAGGGTAGGTAAATAAGTTAATGAGAAAATAAGGAACTATGCAGAACACTTGAGTCTACTACACTAGCAGTACAACAGTGCATCCATCCTTGTGAAGTGATCTATAAACTTGCTCTTGGGTGACTTTCCCTTCCTCTGGTTGAGGTAAATAATTTTTTTTTTTTAGAAATGCCAAAATACTGGAGATTTAAAGCCTTAAGAATAGAAAGGCTTAAAATACAAGGATGTTCAGTCCAGTTTACACAGTAAAGTAAAACATTAAAATTAGTTTGTTCAGTGTGTTTTTGTTGACTAATCATGCTCAAATGCAAATATGTTTAAAATTTCACACTTTATTAATGTATTCTCTTTATTTAAAAAATTCTTTTCTATTCTTGATCTAAAAAAGATCTTCTAAAGGCTTGGATACTGTTTTGGAATTATGTGTATTGCTAGGAACAAGCAATTACCTACCAGAGGAGGATAGGAGGCAAGGTAGCTAGCTTAAGCACATTCAAATTTGACATTTTGTATTGTTTCATTATTGTATCTCTGATAGTTGAACAAAATCTCATTAATAAAACCCCAAAGCTAATTTTAGTAAAACTGGAGCCTACAGAAAACTAAAAATCTATTGCATACATTCTTTAAATATAATAATTCTAATTATTCATGATCCTTCATTCTTTATATAATAGGAAATTAGCATTTGTTTATAACATCTGAACCTACAATGTGCTTTCTGTTTCTGACAATGTGGTGAAGATGGCTGGCAGAACAACAAATTCTGTGATTCTCCTCACGGAGAGGTTGATGCAGGAGTCAAACTTTCCCAAGTCCTTCCATTCCCAGCTAATAGGATTCTGCAGCTATTTATGACAAAGGTAGATGAGATAAAATTAGGGCTTTCACTTCCAGTCCTGAGTCTTTAAAAGAGGGGCTCTGTTATTTAGTTTCTTTAGTTCCTTTTACTTCGCTGAGGGCTTACAATAGAGATGTTGTAAAGATAGATGGAGGCACAGATGGAAGAACTATTGGTCCATGAATCATCATGGAGGAAAGTCTCTGTCAACTAAATAAACATCCTAATTCTGTGTGAGCCAGAAATAGAATCTTATGAGTCCTGACATTAAACTTTGAAGGTTTATTTATTAAAATAGCAAATGTTACATTTAATATACAATTTATTCATTTTAACTTTTATTCATATTTGGATTTTATGTTAGGGAATAGAAGCTGTATATACACACCTACATAGTACATTTGTTTTTTCTCCATACAACAAGAACAAATGGTATTTAGGGAATCAAATGACACAATAATTTTTCAAGTATACTATTTTAAAATTTCTTCTTTATTTTCTACTAATAGCCTAGGATTTGAAAATTTTGAAAATATATACCATTTCCATAACAGGAATTTTGGGGGTCAGAATTTTTCTTTATGTCTATAATAATAGAACTGGGTGAGATAATTCTGTTAAATAAATAGAATTAATTTAACAGAATTAATTTTGTTGTTCCTTTTGTTGACATGGCAAGTATCATTGTTATTTTTATTATGTTTTCTCTTTTTAGTGGTTGTTCAAAACATTACAAAGCTCATGACATATCATCTTTCATATATTTGACTCAAGTGGGTTATGAACTCCCATTTTTACCCCAAAATACAAATTGCAGAATCACATCGGTTACACATTCACATTTTTACATAATGGCATATTAGTGACTGTTGTATTCTGCTACCTTTCCTATCTCCTACTATCCCCCCTCCCCTCCCCTCCCATCTTCCCTCTCTACCTCATCTGCTGTTGTTCAATTCTCTCTCTTGTTTCCCCCCACTTTCCCCTCACAACCTCTTATGTGTAATTTTGTGTAACATTGAGGGTCTTCTACCATTTCCATATGATTTCACTTCTCTCTCCCTTTCTCTCCCCCAACTTGTCTCTGTTTAATGTTAATCTTTTCCTCATGGTTTTCCTCCCTGTGTTCTATTCTTAGTTGCTCTCTTTATATCAAGGAAGACATTTGTTTTTTAAGGATTGGCTAGCTTCGCTTAGCATAATCTGCTCTAATGCCTTCCATTTCCGTGCATATTCCATGATTTTGTCATTTTTAGTGCTGCGTAATACTCCATTGTGTATAAATGCCACATTTTTTTTATCCATTCATCTATTGAAGGGCATCTAAATTGGTTCCACAGTCTAGCTAATGTGAATTGTGCTGCTATGATCATTGATGTGGCAGTATCCCTATAGTACGCTCATTTAAGATCCTCAGGAAATAGTCCAAGAAGGGTGATAGCTGGGTCAAATGGTGGATCCATTCCCAGCTTTCCCAGGAATCTCCATACTGCTTTCCAAATTGGCCTCCCCAATTTGCAGTCCCACCAGCAATGTACAAGTGTACCCTTTTCCCCACATCCTCACCAGCACTTGTTGTTGTTTGACTTCATTATGGCTGCCAATCTTACTGGAGTGAGATGGTATCTTAGGATGACCTTCATTTGCATTTCTCTGACTGCTAGAGATGGTGAGCACTTTTTCATGTACTTGTTGATTTATTGTATGTCCTCCTCTGAGAAGTTTCTGTTCAGGTCCTTGGCCCATTTGTTGATTGGGTTATTTGTTATCTTATTGTTTAATTTTTTGAGTTCTTTGTATATTCTGGATATTAGGGCTCTATCTGAAGTGTGAGGGGTAAATATTTCTTCTCAGGATGTAGGCTCTCTATTTACCTCTCTTATTGTTTCTCTTGCTGAGAAAAAAACTTTTTAGTTTAAGTAAGTCCCATTTGTTTGTTATTGTTATTAACTCTTGGGCTATGGGCATCCTATTAAGGAATTTGGAGCCCGACCCCACAGTATGTAGATCGTAGCCAACTTTTTCTTCTATCAGATGCAGTGTTTCTGATTTGATACCTAGCTCCTTGATCCATTTTGAGTTAACTTTTGTGCATGGTGAGAGAAAGGGATTCAGTTTCATTTTGTTGCATATGGATTTCCAGTTTTCCCAGCACCATTTGTTGAAGATACTATCCTTCCTCCATTGCATGCCTTTAGCCCCTTTATCAAATATAAGAAAGTTGTAATTTTGTGGATTGGTCTCTGTGTCCTCTATTCTGTACCATTGGTCCACCTGCCTTCTTTATCCCTTTTGATTAATTTAGGTTTGAAGTTGATTTTATTCGATATGAGTATGGCCACTCCTGCTTGCTTCCGTGGGCCATGTGAGTGGTATGATTTTTCCCAACCTTTCACTTTCAGCCTATATATGTCTTTTCCTATCATATGAGTCTCCTGAAGGCAGCATATTGTTGGATTTGTTTTTTTGATCCAGGTTACTAGCCTATGTCTCTTGATTGGTGAATTTAGGCCATTAACATTTAAGGTTACAATT